CAGAGACAAATTTTGTGGTGTCCTATTGTTGTATCAGACGAATTAACTCTAATTTTACCGGAGAGTAAAGCACTCCCATAGAATAAAGTACAAAATTTTACGAAAAATCACTTATTAAAGCTCAAAGCTTAATATATAATGAAAATATTTTGTTTTTAGAAAATGTTCCTTTAGATCCATATATGGTATTTTATGAACAACTTTACACTTTACACCAGTACTTACGTAAACATTTATTTAATATAATATCTCCGTCGAAGGTTATAGATACTTCAAATAGATTTACTACCTAAGAAAAAAGATTAGCATTAAATTATAATATAGATAATGAATTTCATTATACTAATGACGCAAAACCACTGAAGGTTTTGAGTGTAGATGGTCTTCAAATTAAAATAACTTGCCAAAACCATGCTTAAGAATAATTGTCAAGTTAATGACAAAACCATGCTTAAGGAAAATCAACAATCCATGACAGGGACTGCTATTAAGGGATTACCATGATGGGAAAGCCTACATCACTTTATATGTTTGGCTTTTCTTCCGATAAATTTATTTAAGAATCTGTCCGTATAATTAACTTATACAGGGTCATTTTTAATTTACTGAAGAAGTCAGACGGAAAGCCGTCTGACTGTATGTTACAGCCATTTCAATTGAAAACTATTGAAAACATAAGTTAGATGGCAGATGAGGCAGATGTGTCATACGAACCGTTGTACAATGCTGTAGTTAAATTAGAAAAAGTCAAGAAATAGTAAGCACTCCGAACATAAAACAGAAGGGTGAATACTGCAAAATGGACAAAATAATAGAAGGATAGATATGAATATAGAGGTTCCCCAATACTTTTAAGGAAATTTAAAAATTCATTCCCATTCAACCACGATGCCTAAACTACCTAGCCGATCTACCGAAGCATTCCTTCCCGAATGAAAAGCCGAGTGACCCCTCACCATAACTCTCCTTAACTCCCCTGACCTTGAGATTAATAGGTATTTTTAGTGAAGTTATCTTCCTCTTGGTTTAAGTATCTACTAGAAGCTATGCCAACAGCTTTTAGAATATCATCTGTTTAAAATTTCGTTTAATATGTGTCTAAGTAAACTGATAGCAGTCCTTCAAATAACTCGATAAATACTCAAAATCGAAATAAGCTTACGAATAAATCGCAAGCCTACAGTGTAAATACATTGATTGAAAAACATCTCGAAGGCATTGTCAAGGTCAATCGCATTTTGCCCTCAAATATTCTCAACTGATTAAATAAAATTCGCATAGTTAAATAAAATTTAATACCTATTGTCATACTATTACTAGTATTCCAATACAATTTATAATACACTAGCGACTCGCCTTCGCTTCGCTCGGGTTCGTCCCTAGCTTGATTCCCCATACAAACTTTTATCCCCATTTTCACACTCTTAAGGGATGATTTCCGAGATAAAAAGTATTTTATATCCTTCCCAAGATCTCACACTATCTTTTTATCAAATTTTATCTAAATCGGTGCAGTAGATCCAGAGATTACCCACTAAAACGTCACAAACTCATAAACTTTACCTGTTTATAATATTAGTATAGATCAGTATTAGTATAGATTAGATAGTTTACATTGCATGTTCATAGACAGAATTTCTTGGATTTTGAGTTGTTTATCTCGATTACAAACAATTAATTAATTATTGACGTACATACATATAACATACCTAATCTTCACATACATAAGCAAAAGCAAAGCAGTCTGTACCTTTTTCTCTTCTGTTTCTCAACCGATTTTCTTTTTTTTTATTTACTAGTTATTGACGAGTTTTAGTGTTATGAATTAAAAAAAATAAGAAACAGTTATTTTTTTAATAGATAGGTAAATTCTATTCATATAATAATAAAAATTGTTGCGTTTCATACATTTTGTATTTAACACGTTAAATATTTTTTTACGTATAACAAATTTCTGTATTTTATTTCTTTATTTACATTAAATATTTTTTGGAAATTTGGAATTGTTTTTATTGACGCAAAAGGTTTTCTACATCACACTCAAAATTAACTTAGGTATATAAAAAAAAATATGTGCTGCAGAACTTTTATGGCAAGACTTTCTAATAACTAAAGCATGAACGAATTAATCAAATTCGTTCATAAACTAAAGTAAAAATAAATAAAAAAAAACAAATCCACCAACTTTGAAAAGCTTATTAGTTTTTTACTTGAACTTGTGATATTATGTAACCTTTATTAAGTAAAAATATTACCTTAAGTAAATTACTTCGTAACCAAAAAGCTTTTATGTTTATGATATTGTTTGTGTTTTCTCTAACTGTAAGACTTGTTTTTGCATCTACATAAAGAAAGGAAAGCTGAGAATAGTACACAAGTTGTTTGAATAATATAGGGAATGTTTATGTCTAGAAATGATAGCCGATGATAAGCAAATCTAATATATTTCGATATGTAAAATACATATTTACCTATTAGATATTCATATCTTTGGCATTTTAGATATTCATTATATTGTTGGCTGGCACCGACTTCGAAAATATCTGATTAGATATCTATTCTAAATGAAAACCTCCGTTTAGTTATTTTTTACATTTTAGTGCCTGGAAGTCGGTTTTTATTTATTTTTTTAAGTTTTTATTTTTGCATTCTTAGTATAGACGTAATAAGCAGGTAATTTGTAAGAAGAATGTTTTTTATTTTAATAACATATTCGAATAAACAATTTATTTAAAAAATATATTTATTGTTTATTTTTTAAAAAACCTCTTAACCGATTTTGATAAAATTTATATGGGACCACCTGGGAAGTATACCCTTTAAAACAAAATTATTTTTTTCCAAATCGGTCCAGGCTTCTTCGAATAATACATAAAAAAATCCGACGAATTGAAAACCTCCTCCTTTTTTTGGGAAGTCGGTTAAAAAATGACAACACACGCACACCGAAATGTTACATTCTAATCATCGGTGTAAGCAGTAATACAGGTGGTTGACAACATTAATGCATATATGTGCTAAAATATTAACTTGGTAGGTAATTAACAACAGAAATAATGTCAAGTATAATCAAAGAGAAATGAAAAGGTTTTTTTTTAAAGTGCGACATATGTTCATGCTCCTCGATGGTAAACAGTATTCGAAGACTATATACGTTTATTTATTATAGTAGACGACGCGTGTGGCTCAGTTGGTAGTGACCCTACTTTGCTGTGCCAGTGATCGCGGGTTCGAGTCCTGCTGGGGGTATTCATTTGTGTGATGAGCACGAATATTTGTACTCCAGTCATGGGTGTTTATATTTATAATATGTATATATTTAAAGTTATATATGTGTAGTGTATCAACTATCTGGTATCCATAACACAAGCCTCGTAGCTTACCATGGAACTAGATGGTGCTGTCTTAATGTTCTAACATATTTATTTATTTATTATGAGTAAGCTTACAAAAAATAAATAATAAATAAATAAACTTATGACTGAAGAGAGTAAAAAAGAGAATAGGATTAATGAGATCAGTCGGTATTGAAGAGATGGATGGGTCAGTTCTATTTTCACTGGCTTAGTTCTATTTTCATAGAAAAGATAATATACTAGGTCATTCATATTTACTGATTGCTATGAATAGAAAGGCTTCGTTAAGGAATTTCAAACAACCTTATACAATCTGGCAAACATTTGAAACAAAATGTCGTCACTACCTCGTTTAAAACCAATCAATATTGAAAGTATCTGGAAAATAAAAACTTAAAAAAAACCGACTTCCAGGCACTAAAATGTAAAAAATAACTAAATGGAGATTTTCATTTATAATAGATACTTATCAGATATTTTCGAAGTCGGCGCCAGCCGATGCAAAGCAAATCTAATATACTTCGATATGTAAAATACATATTTATCTATTAGATAATTATATCTTAAAATATTGTCCGCTGGTATTAATCGGTGAACATACAAAAAAAAAGAAAAAAAAAGATTCCGACGAATTGAGAACCTCCTCCTTTTTTGGAAAATCGGTTAATTAATGATTAAGGCGCAGTGATATTAAATTCTAAGCAAATGGAGGATAAAGCAGTGGTAGCTTAGTAGCTAGTAACGCGCTTGGAAACGAAGTGAAGCGGGTTCAAACCCCGGTTTTTATACGAGTACCTCTGAGATTTTTATATTAAATATTATATACAATACATACCATGATACAACCTAATACTTAGAAATACTACACATATATCTATATATATAATATATATCTATAAATTAAACTTATACATATTTAAATTATAATTACAATTCGACTTTTTATTTAGTGAAATGATCTAGAAAATGATGTATGTATGTTGTATTGCACCCAACCTATTTTAGTATATCACTTTATATTTACATTGTATTTGGTTAACATTTTTTATACATTGTCTTATTATCTTTCTGTATGTTTGTTGTGCACAAAATAATATATAAATTAAATAAACAAAGTCGGCCTTCATAGTTTACTGGATGAGAAGAATTTATTCGTTTGTTGTACGAGTATTAAATACAATACGTACGAAATTTAATATAGAAAGGTTTAGATTTATATCTTCTGCTATATATGTAGGTATACATAGTTATAACGAAGAATGACGACTTAAAATTCAAAATAAATAATATAACTAATAAATAATAAAATTATTGGACCATCTATGACAAGAATTTACCCTGTTTTTTTGTTTCATTTTATTGAATTATTGTGTAATTTTAAATTTAAATTGTAGTAATTTCTTGTGAAATTGTACTTTTAATGACAATTATTTAGTTTTTATTAATTACTCTTTCAAAGCTCACTCTCATAGTTTTAATCTATTTCAAAATGTCTTTGCCATTTAAACGATATACGAAGAAAATTGAATCTGCGACCAATACAATAGGTAGGTGACTTATACTATTATTAAATATATTACAGTTTAAGTCACCTACAAGTAGTACTAGTTATTGTGTATGTAATAATATGCTTACGAAACTTACCTGGCTCCATCCATACGCGCTTAGAAATCCAATAGTAATCGTATTACTTTCACTCCAATTACCCCTTATATTTGGACAAATTTTCGCGCTTCCACAATTGCTCTTGACCAATTCAAACAAACTTATGCCATCTGCCTCTAATTCTGTTATTGACAAGTTATCTTCTATCAGATTCATCTCGCCAGTATATATATTGTTCAAATATATCGAATTTAGACGTTTAGTGTCATATGGAATTTCTTCAGTTAAATTTAAAAGCTCACATTTCTTGTAATGTATCGAGCTTTCTATAATTGTTTCGTTAACTTCAAGCATTGTATTGTTTTTCAATTCATTTTCAGCGGTTTCTCGCTTAGTTATTATTTCAGGTTTCAGGTCTGAGTTCGTCTTATCTAGAGTAGCTTTATTTACACACATAGCGGTAGCATCGTGTAGAACAATGAGTATAATGCAAATAAACCTTACTCTGTTCGCCATTTTCTCAAATAATTGCACTTTACTCCTGTATATTAGCTTCCTTCGTTCCATTTAGTGTCCTGTAACAAAAGATTTAGAATTGTTAACTAGTTTGCTATAGTGTTTATATCGTAGGACGTAAGTTATTACTTTGCATTTTGTATTGTGTTTAAATAAGGATGGTCTACATAGACATAATGAAATATTATTGAAAAAAATTAATATCACATTAAAGTAATACTAGCAGTACCCGCGGCCTCGCTCTCGCTAAAACTACTAAAAAACTAAAAAAGTAGGTTTCATACAAACTTTCGTCCCAAAAAATGCTAAAACACATATTTATTTAATTGCATTGAAGAGCAATAATACCAAATTTGAAGTAATTCTGTTTATAAATAATTTTTGGGTTGTATTATAACGTATTTTCCCGTGAGAATGAGATTATCTCCCGCAGTAAAAAGTAACCTATGTCACTCTCCATTCCTCCAACTATCTTTATCCAAAAAATCAAGTCAATCCGTCACTCCGTTTCGACGTGAAAGAAAGACAAACAAACAAACGTAGGTACTTTCACATTTATAATATTAGTATGAATAATACTTTGTGTAATCTATATTCGTAATGTTGCAGTTCTAAATAAATCGTCATCGGCGAGACCGAACCGACCGAACTTCGCTCGGAGTTTTGGCCAAAAGTACAATTTTCTTTTGAATTTGGCTTAAAAAGAAAAAAAAAGAAAAACTTTGATACATTAAAGAAAAACAAAAGTTAATACTTTTTATCCGACCCGGATTCGAGCCCGGACACCTGAGATTGTCAATCTCGCGCCTTGGCCACTTGACCACGATGTTTATACCCGACCATGCGAAATCAACAAGCATATTTTGCGCGGAATAATACGAAAGAAAACCGCACGAAACTCGAAAACACACATTTTACCAGACATAATAGTCTAATGTCTATCTAGATATCGATCTTTCGTCCTGGAAAACCCCACACACCTAATTTCAGCGAAATCGTTAGAGCCGTTACCGAGATCACCGGAATATATAAATAAATATACAAGAATTGCTCTTTTAAAGGTATAAGATAGATAAACAGGTAAAGATAAAGCAGTTCAGTACCTTTATCTCGTCTACAGTAGCTATTGACGAGTTTTATAGTTATCAATAAAATAAATTGGAAATAGTTATTGTTACTTATGTGGATAAATAAGTTTTCCTCAAATTTTTAATAATGGTTGAAGTCCGACCACTAGACCAACTCAGATTTGTTAATACATATTTATGTTTTGCACTTGTAAATTAATTATCTAGTTTAAATTAAAAAAAAAACAAATGAATAAAAAAAGTGTAACATGTTTTGCTTTTATTGGCGGGAGAAAATATTTAAGTAAATAAATAAAAAAATGTGAATAAAATAAATAAATAAATATGTTGGGACATCAACACACAGCATCATCTAGTTCCATGGTGAGCTACGAGGCTTGTGTTATGGATACCAGATAGTTGATACGCTACACACACACATATATATATATATATATATATAAACTTTAAATACATACATATTATAAGTATAAACATTCATGACTGGAGTACAAACATTTGTGCTCATCACACAATGAATGCCCCCAGCGGGACTCGAACCCGCTACCGCTGGCACAGCAACTAGGGTCACTACACACTGAGCCAAATTTGTCGTCAATGAATAGTTCATGGAATTCAAGAAAAATAATTTTAATAACAAAAAAAGTGCTAACAAGTTGCGAGTTACAGCAAAGTACCTTAATAAAGTCAGTAAAATAAAGCTTTTACCATTTCTACTGTATCTCTACTTACTTTTCCAAGCACGTATTGGTATAGAAAACTATCCTATATATTATTATTGCACAACATTGCTGGTATTTGTATATGTGCATGTGGTATCTCTAAATGAATTTCCCAAAATAAAAAAGGATATAGTCTAAGCTCTACACTTTTTTACTTCAGAATTGAGATACAAATGTCTAAACATCTTCATAAAACAAATTATATCAAAAATATCAAATATCATTTTCTTTATCTAAAAATATACGTTTAAAAACACAACATGTACAATATTTTTAAATACTGAATACATATGTATTTACGAGTACTTCAATATTATTTGCAGACAATATGATCCGTTCCTATAAACCTACAAAATCTCTTCACAGAAGCGGTTATAAGTGAAATGATCTCTGGAATTTTTGCTAGCTATTAGTTTTGATATACCAATGCAAATTTATTATTTATGTTAATTATTATTCATTGTTTTTGAACGGGACCCTAATTTCTTTTCTAAAATAAAAGTTGCCTAAGTTACTCCTTATAATATCAGCTATCTGCCTGTGAAAGTTGCGTCAAAATCAGTCGAGCCGTTCGGATTTTTATTAGTCGGAACAAACAGACAGACAAAAATATAAAAAAACGAGTTTTTCTTATAAGTACCGTACATAATTTCATATGCATTTAGTAAAAAGCTATTATTTTGACATTACAAATAGACACTTCAATTTTATTTATCTATATAGATAATCCATATGATTAAGTTAGTGGTTGTAGCTCTATATAATGTACAATCATTATACATGTATGTATGTATGTATGTATGTACTCGCTAATATCAAAAACTGTGAACTTTTCTTTTTCTATTTTTCTGTTATAATATAATATGCATTTGTCCAGAAATAATTTAGTATATTGAGAACTTCTTACATCTAAGAGCTTATAATGATCTTAACTCTTAAGAAACGGCAGCTAAAAGGGAAAAACAATTTACGGGAAATAATTAAACCTCCATATATCTATATAAATGTTCGCGTTACCATAAGCCATAATTTCATGATATGAAGCTTTATATGGGGGCGAATAGAATGCATAAATTATTTTAATGATTCTACGTGACGCATATACAAAGTGACACATACAGTACATACATTGATTAACTTAAGGAAAATTTGTAATTACTTTATAATAAATTAACATTTTTGAATCGTATCAAAACACGTACAAAATTAAAAAATAATTGCTAACTTCAAAAAATTTTGTTAGTGAAAAGTTACTTTAAAAATAATTAAGAGAAATCTGTGATAAACTGACACTTCTTGAAGTCATTAACAAGAGAATTGAATTGAATACATATTATAAATATAAGCACCCATGACTGGAGTACAAACATTCGTGCTCAACACACAAATAAGTGCCTCCAGCGGGATTCAAACCCGCGACCGCTGACACAGCAAGTACTACAAACGTGTATAACGAAAAGTGACACTACAAACTAAGCCAAACGTGCCGTCATAAATATGTATAATATTTTTTTGCTATAAATATAAAGCTACAAATAAGATAATATATAAATAAGATGAAATAGTCTATATAATAACTTGATATTTACAATTTTTATAGGTAAAAAATAATTATACACTTATAATTAGTTTAAATAAAGAAAAAGCTTTAAGGAAATATTTTACAAAATAACTGCTGTGGGTAACAAAGTTTATTTACGAAATGTTTACACTCACGATTAATAAACAATGGTACTAAGGATAAAATGCTTAATGCTTTAATCAAAATTATTGGTTTAGTTTTTCTCCATATATACTATATCACTGTATATACAATATACATATATGCCAGACTTCACAGATATTTCAATTTGTAAGGTTGTCTTTGACATTCAGAGAGTTCATTTTGATTTTTTCAGAATATTTTCCTTTACCGTATCAACAAGTGGTTATTGCGTTGAAAACGAGATGTGACAAATGAAAGAACCGAGTTTGAAGTTTGAAGTTTCTAAAAAATCACAGTACTAATAATACTTTCCTAGATTTACGCGAATATTTGACATTTTAAATAAAAATATCTTTTCAGTTTTTTTTTGTGGATTTATTTTGATTTTTGTTCTCGACGTTTCGAATGAAATAAATAAAATTTAAATGAATTAAAGTTTATTCAATTAGATTTATTATAAGCTGTTTTGAATGCTATACAGAGAGACCTTCCGTGACAATTATTGGTGTAAAGCATTCGAATTCAATTTTATAGAATACAAAATAAAATAATGTACAATGGAAAGTTAAAAACAGCGAATGAGTGTTTGTTCTCCTTCATGTCGGAAGTAATTAAATTCAAGATGGAGTATCTTATTATCAACAAAGTTACTGAGCTTTCAAAATTAAAAAAAAACAATACAAAACTCAATAAAGGCACCGACAAAAAGTCTGGTATTCGCAAATTTCCTATAAAAACCGAAGCCAAGCAAGCGAAGCCGCGAAATAAAAATAGTATTGCATATTTCCTTGATTAACCGACCTCGATCACACGATGACTTAGTCGACACGATGACTTAGTCATGTTGCCGAAGAACTTAAGAAGGTTAAGAAGATATATTAAGAAGTATTTATTACGTACTTATGTTAAAAAAAAATTGTTTAATATATTTAAAAGAACGTACAACACTTCATAGTACTAAATTTATTTTAGACATTTATTTGGATTTAATGTCAACATGATTCGATATGAATAGAAAGTTCTCTCCGTTAATTATAACATGCCTGAGAGGCGGAAAATTGAATTTCCTTTTGAAAGTGAAATGGAATTAAAAAATAATATTTGTTGATTTTAAAAAAAACCGCTTGACCGATTTCGATTAAATTTATATGGGACCACCTGGGACGTATATCCTTGAAACAAAAAAAAATCCAAATCAGTTCAGGCGTCTTCATGTAATCGGTGAACATACATAAAAAAAGAAAGATTCCGGCGAATTGAGAACCTCCTCCTTGTTGGAAGTCGGTTAGTAAAAAATAGCAAGAATAAAATATTTCATTATACACTGCCCGAAAAATCAGACTAAATAAATTGTATGCAAATAGCTGTTGTAAAAAAGTGGACATCATTTTCGTAGATTAATTAAAAAACATGACTGTGACGTAAAAAATTAAAATTCCTTTTTAAATTTAGATCATTTTTGATACTAACAGTTAGCCATTATAC